ATCCTTTCCATAAATGGATTTATGTTCTATAATTGCTTGGATTTTTCCCCCTGAAACAGTCACTCAAGTGTTTCATTCATATCTTTATTCAGAGATAAAGATGAAGCCGATTCTGAAAATGATTTGTCTAACACTACAGCACTGTCTGCCTCCACTCTCTCACAGACAGCCCATTTACTCTCCCCTATGTTTGCTCTTTCCATTTGCTCCTTCCCTGCACATCTCTCATCAGCACCTTCAGGCCAGGAAGGAGCAGCTGTGTGGATTGGACAGCAGCCACTCTGGGTTTTCCAGGGGTTGAAGGCCACAGCAGCTGCAGCAGGAGGGCGTCATAGCTCCTCTCTGTGTTTGAAGGCATTGGAGCGGGTGTAGTCGGTGTATGGACACATTGCCATGCAAACACAGGAGGCACAATACAAACAGAGCTGGGCGACATTTTTTGGACCATCATTTATTAGCTGAAAAATGCAGCTTCAGGGCGACTGAAACTATTTGTGGAGTCAGGTCAAATTTGGTGTCTAGTTTCAGCTGAAAAAAATTTAGAAAAAGTCAAAATGTTTCTTTCTGACATTCTTGTACGGAAGTGTTTTGATTTTTCGTTGCAAAAGGATGTTCCCTTTAGAAATGCAGCTAGATTTAAAAAAAAGGGAGGGGGGAGAGGGGAATAAAAACCACACAAACAATTAAACAAGCCAGAAAGCCGAACAGTTTCGTTTGACCCCAAATGATTTTTTTTCTTTATTTGGTTGGTCCATTAAGCCAAAACATCAATGATTTGCTCAGCTCTACAAACCCCTATATATATCTCACGGTGATTCTGAATCTGTAGAATTGATGAGCTTTTGGTAGATATCTTATATGTTACTCTTTATGGATAAATATTCTGTCAGACATGTTTGGCAATGTGAGTTTGTTAGGTTTGAGGTCAGAGTTAATTGCAAAGAACATGGGACCTTTTGCTAAGGGGTCTCTGGGTCACAGTATTTCAGCAAGGGATTGCTCCATCCTAGCCCATGTTCTCCCTAGGATCCTGTTGTGAAATCATAATGCTGGATTTCTAACATCAAATTAATTTCCACAGCAGAGTGTGGGCTGATTTCAATACAAGGTCATACACCCATGATTTTGACTTAAATTCAGGAATAAGCAGAAGGAGACATTGGGCTACTGTTTAGAAAGAGCTTTTCTAAACATGGAATTCATACTGCCAAGGAAATTTCCAACTTTTCTCCAGCGTCTCTCAATCTACTCATATAGCGTCCATCACAGTAATAATTTTAACTATATATTTGAATTGTTTTCAATGGTAAAGTAAATGTTTATATTTCATGACAATTCCTCAATAATATTCTTTTAAAAGCTGAGACATGAAGCTTTGGTCTTTCAGCACACTAATCTAATTTCAAATACCACTTGGATATTTAATCAATTTGTTAATAAAGGTGTAATTTTAATAATTATTCTGATTACACATCTTTTGCTTTCTCAGTGGCTACAGATAAGAATTGCAAATTCCAGAAACTTCATTAAAATTTGTATTGCTCATCAGAGGCATTTCCTACTTTCAGAATGTTTCAATAAAGAGGACAAACACGGAAATCATGCTGAGTGCCATGACAAGTAATTGAATGACTAAGAGTGCAAATATTGGATAATATTGTTTACAAACAAGTTACTTATTACTTCCTTCATTACTGTCAGCTTCATTAGAGAATCAGCTACTTTTTTCCCCAACAAGTATTTATCTCTTTACTCTGGTGTTTTATAGTCACAGTTGCCTTTTGTCTTATTCTTACATTACTTATTTTCATTTGGATACAAATAATCTAGCTTTTGTGATATTGACATCATAACAAAATGTTACTTAAATGTGAATTATGCTGCTTAGCTGGTACCGTAGCCTCTTGTGCTCTGAGGCTGTCAGACCAAATGAACTAGAAGGGGTTTGGTTTGGTGAGGTGGCTCTGGAAGCAAGGCCTTCACTAAGGATCAGCAAACTGGGTCGAAATTCTATTTTAAGATTTCCTGTAGTAGTCTAGTACAACAGAGTGTAAATTCTGAGGCAACTTGATTTAAATTAGAGAATGGACGTTTTTGGTGATAGTACAATCAATACAATAATCTCTGTCATATTTATTTTGATATTAACTTCAGTTTAGTTTAGGCTGTCCCCACATTTCAGTTTTCAATGTGCTGCTAATTTTTGTATCGATCACACTTAGTTGCATTGTAGAAGCTGTCACAGGTTAGCTAGATGTTTTGACAGCTGGGTGAAGGGCAGAGATAGAGTCTGGTACTCAAAAAGGCTTGAGAGGTAGAGTGGAATTGTGGGATAAGCATATTACCTGGATGTTTCCACTAAAATGATCATCCATGAACTATTTAGACATTTAATTTTCCACATTGTTTTCCTTAGCTTTCAGAGTTAACTCCCTACTTAGATGAATGGAGGTAGTTCACACCTCTCAGAGCTATCTTTCAGGCTGTCTGCAGACTCAGGCAGAGAACATGGTATCGCTGTATATTTGGTTCACATTATAAGGTTTAAACACAACCAAACTGGCACACGTGTATATTCCAGTGGAATCATAGACTATGCAAGACCCTGCCTTGAAGCAACACCTAGATGGTACAGGAAGCAGTGTTAGGGAATTTGTTAGCTGGCACCTTTCCCTTAAAGGTGGAGTGCTACTTCAGGTGCTATCTCTTGGATGAGATGTAAAATGCAGACTCTGATCACTTGTAGTCATTAAATATCTCCCGGCACTTATTAAAAGCCCTGATGTGTTGGACAAATTCTAGCCTGGTTAAATTCATTTGACCAAATACTCTGTTGGTGTAAATGATATAGCTCCATCAACTTCATTGGAGCTATGTTGATTTACACCAGCTAAGGATCTCTCCCTCTTTGTGTTCCTAAATTCTCCCTGCAATTTCCTTTGGCTACAGTATTATTCAATTTCTGTCATGTTCTTGTGCTGTATTTCTCCTCAGAGGTGAATCACTACCTATGGTGTACATATCATTTGTACATGCTTGGGAGTGAAATGTTCTCGGTAAATGTGAAATAGCATTAATACTTCATGCTGTGGGAAGACATGTTAAAAGCTAAAACTCCCTTGAGTGCAAAGGTAGCCTTGAGCATGTGTTTAGTCAACTCTGTTGGTCACTGTCACCCTTGTTTCCCCAAACCATAAACATTTGATCCACTGGAGTTCAGCATTCTTCAAATCCACATGAGTTTCAAGACATGTGAGTTTCAATCCAAGACAATCTCCTGCCCTTTGATTTTTCCATGAGAGGCAGGAAGTGGCAGGTTGCAGGATCATCACTTGATTAGTAAATCTGTATGTCACAACAGAATCCACATGCTGAAAAATTCAAAATAACAAGCTACGGATGGAAAGTAACAATGTCTTTCCAAATGAATCAAAAAATGTCATTTTAAGTGTTAAAAGTCAATATGTATTTTGGTTAATTAGCTGAAAACATAACGGTTATTTCTAGCCTCTCTTCAGACTCTCTGTTTAACCAGTCTATGTTGCAATGCTTGGCCTGCAGCACTTCTATTTATAGCTCTCATGGAACAGTCTTAAATTGCTTATTTTCTGTTTACTAAAGTCATCCCCTTTGTTACCATGGAAACTGTGGCAAGTGCCACAGCTTAACTGTTTTATTAAATGGATTGAAGGTACAGCTGCAAAACTTGAAGGGGCAGCATGTCCATTTTTATCCGTAGCTCCAGCTGCCTTAAATACCACATTACAGCAAATGTTACCTTAACTACTAGGGGCCAGGTTCTGATTTCAGTTACAATGGTGTAAATCTTGAGTATTTCTTTTTTCAGTGGAGATACTTCTGATTTATTGTGGTGGGACCCAGATCAGGATCTGTCCTTAAAAAATTACACTGCCTGTCAAATGTCGGTGATTATTACATTCAAATGGATCAATTACAGATGATGTTCCTGCTCATCTTGGGAAGACACTTGCTCACAGTTGTATTTGTGTGAAGCTTTTAGGAGAATATTATCTTATTTCTTACAGCAATCACATTATTGTTCGAATCAGTGCATTCCACTAATGTAACACCAGGAATCAGAGAGAAGCTAATGACTTTGTCAAATATCAGTTTTCCAAGGAAAATTATAATGATGAACATAGGACAAAACTTTTAAATCCCTACTAAGGCACATATGTAAAAGGGCCCTGAATTTCAGAAGTGCTAAGCAATCATACCTCCTGTTGACTTCAGTAAGAGTTGTGGTGGTCAGCACCTCTGAAATTCAGGCCACTTAAATTAGGTCTGTCACCATGGATTGGGTGCCTAACATCAGTTACTCAAGTTAGAAAATCTTGGCTATTAAGGTTTCGAAATGTGTTTGATGATAGAATGTGAATCACCAGTTAGTATGATCAAGTTTAAAACAAAGGACTTGTTTCCATTAACATCATTTTTAATTCAAAAATCAAAATGCCATTGTGCAGACCCCAAAATAATAAGAACAAAAATAAGAATGGCTATATATTTATACACATAAATGTTTAATGAGTGATTTTCTCTATTGTAACCAAACCAAAAAGCTTCAAGAACCCCTGATATTTAGGAAGTGAATGTGGCTTTGTGTTCTCCAATAAGCATTATGGTTGATGGGGTAGCTTGCCTGTGGCATTTGATACTGAATACCTCCACAATGTGATGCTGTGTGTTTATATTCAAAGCATTTCCAGTGAATAAAAACCAGTGCACCAAAAGAAAGTGGCGACTTACCTGAGAAGTCTTTTGGAACAAGTTAACGTGATAAGCAATTAGAAGACACTTACATTTCCTCTGTGCCAAAAATGGCCTTATTTAAATAAAAAATGCTTCATGTGTCTGGTGAGCAAAAGAAACAATCTGCGGCATTTTTGACATTACTGGAGTTATTGGTGAAAGAAAAAAAGAAACTATGCAGATTTCTTTGACTTACATAAACTTCCTTTCTTTTTCTCCCTTCTTAGGGTCCACCTTCATTTGCAACACCCACATAATCCCAGTGAAAAATCAAGAAGGAGTAGCTATGATGTTTATTATTAACTTTGAGTATGTAACAGATGATGAGAATGCGGAGTCTCTCGAGAAGTTCAACCCGATATTGCCAGCCAGACTTGTAAACCGTAAGTGGGGGGTGAGTGGAGGAGGGAAGGGGAGAGAAAGCGATCATATATTGCTGTTATTTTCATTGCAGAACAGTTTCATCCACGTTATAATTTCAGATATTATGAATTAAAAATATATCAATAGACCTAATTGCAAAGAGAATTTGCTACTCTTGACAATACTTACCGCTCCTATAACTGTGGTAGAATTTTAACATATGTAACTTTTTAGTTACAGGTTTCCACTACAAGCGTGTCAAATTTGACTTATTTCTAAAATAATGTATTTCAGTTTGACACATTTCAGCAAAAAGTGATCAAAAATATGAACTAAAGTTGAAAAACAAACCCGACCAAAACCATGTTATCCCCAAATATCCTACTTCTATTAAGAGTCAGTACCCTACCATAAATCTAGGCAAATTTAAACTAAATCTCAGGAAACACTTCCTAACGAGAGCTGAGTGTGTAATGCCAAAAAAAAATCCATTAATATTCATTCAAATCTTTAAGGGCTTGATTTTGTGCCCAATGAAGTTGACGGTAACTCACCCGTTGATTTTGGTGGTACAAGGATAAAACCCTACATTAATTTACATTGGCCATTCTCATGTGCCTTTTATGTTTTCATTTGCAAACATTTGAATTTTACGGAAATATTCATGGAAAGTTAATTTAATAGCTGAATGCACAAGTATTCCCAGAAATTAAATTTTAAATTTGCATGCACACGTATTCAAATCAGAAGTACCTGCATGCTTATCTACTCAGGAGATAAAAACAATCTATGAAGAAAACATTTTAAAGATCTACATCAAATACATATGAGAAATCATGAACCACTTGCAGATTGCCTGTGAACACAAAAAAAAGAGGTTAAGTTCATCAAATGAAAGTATTCATTGGGAATCATTTGTTTATTCCTAACGGTGAGGGCTATTAGACTGTGAAATGGCAGTGCAAAGGAGGCAATGGAATCCCCATTGCTTGACACATTTAAAACCAGACTTCAAAGCAATAGGAGATACACTGTAGAGAGCAAACCTGCTCAAATAGAAAGATGCAATGGATAATCTAATAGGTTTTTAGTCTCTCTAACTCCTAGGAGTCCATGAATATTGTTAGTCCAAACCTTTATAGGCTAAGAAATCAGAGTCCCAATCAGTTCCACAGTTAGGGTTCATATCTGGCAACTCAATGTATTGCTGAAACAGCACTGGGCTATATGCATGATGACATGTTTTACTTTACAGCAGTTTTAATGTATTTTTCTGGTATTTCAGCCTGAACCAGTGTTGGATAAATGAATGTAGTTGCTATTCCTCAGGGAGAGTGTATTACGTGACTGAAAAGGGGGGTTCTAGTAAAACAACAACAAAACCCTTTGTTTCTACTACTCAATTATTATTGTCTTTTGGGGAGCTCTATGCTCCCCTTCCCAAATGGAAATGCACACAAAGGTACTTGAGGAGCCACGGTTCCACACCATCCTCCTTCAGTATCACCAGCCTGGTGCATGCAGATAAGATATCCTTAACAAAAGATAATAAAGACATGGCAAATCTGAAGCCCTACTTGGTGTTCCCTATTGCCCCCACTTTATACCCACTCCTTGATCCAGCATTCTAGATACTCCACCACAGCAGTGATCTTGTGACCCCTCTGACTAGGGAACACACAATATGTAATAAAGAGTGCTGCTGCTCAGAAGCATCGGCTACCAGTTATGCCTTTTCGAGAGTGGAATATGCTGCAATAGAATGATTGCTCCCTATTCCTCTCCCTTCTATCCAGGCCACTACCCTATGAAGCTGAGCTTATGCGTGTAGCAGGGATCCAGCATCTGGAGAGTTGGAGGAAACTTCTCTCTATGTAATAGAGCTGGGCAGAAATTTTCCAGTGGAATGTTTCTCTGTTGGAAAATCCTGATTCCTCAAAAGTGAAACATTTCATGGAAAATTCATTTCAAAATGAAAATTGAAAATAAAAGTTTTGGTAAGGTCAGAATATTCCATGTCAACCTTTTTGGAACAGAATGTTTCAATTTTTCCTTTCAAAATGACTTCTTTTTTTCAATTTATATTATAAAATGATATATAAAACGAAAAAAAAGTTGAAATTCAAATGATATATATTGAAATACTTTGAATTTTTTGTTTGTTTGTTTCTTTATGGAGCCGAAGAAATTTGAAATTGCACCACTTCCCAAAACAAAAAACTCTGGTTCTGGTAGAGCTCTACTGTGTAGCTTTCATGGCCCATTTTCTGCAGAACCTGCATAAATTTGCTCACCTTCACTTCATGCAGTCATTCCCTGAAAAGTTTCCTCTAACACATTCAGCTCTTACTGACAGATTCCCCAGAGCTAGTACCTGCTCTTAGTGAGCTAGAACATGTTCTGGCAGTGAGCATTATTATTGTCCCCATAGTCTGGTTGGTCCATTAACACTTGGAAAATTGCCTTTAGCATTACACTTAATGTGATAAAGGGACTTGGAACCTCAGCCCTCTGACTGGAAAATAACCTGCCCAACTCTTTCTGGATAGAAGGCAAGGAGGGGCCAGAACATCATTGCAAGTGCCCAGGGGAGATCTCCCCCAGTCTAAGTACACCATAGGAGTGACTAAGTGGTCCTATGCTGCTTCCCCACCCCTGCAAGCCGCAGTGCAGGGAATGAGAGGGACTGTAGTGCACAGCGCTACTGCAATTCTGGATTGCTCCTGATTAAAGCTACCTTTGATCCCTCCCCCTAGGCTGTGCCCTCTGTGCTGCACCTCTTGGAAAGCCAGCCCCGAACCTCACCCATTGTCTGCCATGCATTATGTTGTGGTTAAAAAGTACAGAAAGCATGACATTGCTATAGTACCTGCAAGTCGTTTCAAATGCAAAAGAGATTTCAATCCCTGTTTTGTGAGATGCACCCTGAAATAATGTCTTCATTAAGATTTGAGGAAGAACGTTTTGTGGGTAATACAATAATTGGATGTAAGTGCACAGAATGGACTAAATTCTTCCCTCTGTTACACTTGTACAACCCCACTGAAATCAATAGTGTTGTTTGGGTATTACTGTGGAGAGATTATTGCCCATCATTTAAAACTAGCAGAATGCCTATAATGGGGCCTGCTTATAATGTATTGCAATTTTTTTTTACAATATTTATGAAAAATATTTCCTTTACTCTTCCTCCTTTTAAAAACAAACAGTCCAAGCTGTATTTTTCCTTTGTTTTTCATATAGTACATTCAAAAGACAGTTGTACTTTTCTAGAAATATTACCATTAAAATCCCATCAGGAGGTATAGTAATAGTGATACAAATGATGTCTGCTAGCCTCTAATACCATTCTGTGTCCATTTTATGCAGGGTATGTCTTTAGGTGTTTTGAATATCTTTGCTTTACTATTAGTTTTCAAACGCAATTTTTTATTATCATAATAAAACAGGATGGTTGAATTTTCCCCCAGTGTAGCTATAAAGGTAACATTGGTAGTGGGGGGGGGGGGGAATAGAGTGGTAATAAGAAAAGAAGTGTCCTTCCCCCCAAAAAATTTCTGGCCATCAGTTCCTGTTATCTGTCTTTAATACATCAGCACGTATACTTGGAAGTGTTCTGATGCCCCACCTGAGGTCTCATGTACATACTGTGTGCTTCAGAATGCCAACACCCATTTGCCTTAATTGCACTTGTCCCCAGACCCAGCTGCGCAATTGCAGATGCCACCCCAATCCTGAATGAGTAAGAGCCAAATTCATGTGCAGGAAGCCCCAGTCTTGTCAGTCCCTGTCTTAAAACTGTAACAAAGGGGTAGATTGTGAGAGGACTCCCCCTTAACTGTGAATCAAGAGAGCCCATCCCTTGCTGGTCTTATTGCCATGTATGCCCTCACAGCCTCCAAAGGGCAGATCCCAGGCTCACCACCCTCCTGTAAAATAATGGTTCACCCTGGCCTCCTTGATCCATCATTGACCACCTCAAGATTATTACCACCAATTGCCCCTCCCATTGTATAACCCCAATTCCAAATCCCTGCCAAAAGAGTCCCTACAGGACGCAGGTACTAGTTTGCTGATTCAAAAAGCTCCAAAAATGCTACCAGAAAAGTTGCCTTGAACAAGCTCACCTCTTGTCCACAATGACATAAGGGCTCTAGGATCCACACCAGATCCCTAAGCATATTAACAGTGATGAGATGACATGCATCCTCCCTAGGGTCGGTGCTTCAAAATCACCCCACTGGAAACCTTCCAACTAAAAACCCACTACAAGGATCTAGGTAACCATTCAGCCTACTGACAAACATAAGGGCCAACGTGCGAGTGGAAATGGTAGATGACACCAGTTGCCAGGTTACTAACGACACCATGTAGTGCAGCAACCATTCCTCTGTAATGGGCCATACCGGAGACAGGCCCTCCCATTCCTGAAATTGCACAAAATCATTAACACTTCTCTCATAGCTCTTCAATCTTTGTGGAAAAAAGAAAAGGAGGACTTGTGGCACCGTAGAGACTAACCAATTTATTTGAGCATAAGCTTTCGTGAGCTACGGTGCCACAAGTCCTCCTTTTCTTTTTGCAAATACAGACTAACACGGCGGTTACTCTGAAATCTTTGTGGAGCCACCAGTCTCTGTGCTATACTGACAGCCAACATCTGCCAGGGTTCCATAGTGCTCACAGCATCCGTTCGAGTTCCTTGCTGGCTCCTGGTGCCAGCTTGTGAAATCTGTCTATCTGACAATGAGACAATGCATCTGCTGTGCCATTGTCAACTCCAGGCACATGTCTGGAAGAGAAACAGATGTTAAAGCTTAAACATTGTAGTACAAATGCCATCACCAGACTCATAACACTGCGTGATCTGGAGGACTAGCAACTAACGTACTACTGCCCTGATGTCACACCAGAAACACAGCCTTTTATTAGCAAACTCCATTCCCCAAATGACCACTGCAACCAAAATGGGGGAAAAATCCAGAAATGTTATATTCTGCACTATCCCAGAATATCCAGG